TGTAATTTGACAGTCTCAGTAGTAAACATTCTGCTTTGTTTAGTCTTATTTCAAATTGTCTTGTTCTAAGTATAGCTTTGTTGTTCTACACTACTCTTGTCTTGTTAATTGTCACTTTTGGAACTCATACATTCTGCTTGAATCTACCTACTCCTTCTCACTCTTGATCCCTCTCAGTGTCTGTACCTTGTAGACTCAACTAATCCTCTTCTGCCTCAACCAGTACTAGAGATCAACACTAGATAGTCTTGTACTCTTAAGCTTACTCTATATACTTTACTCTTGTCTCACTCTATTACCATGTCTGAACCCTAGAGTTCTACACATTCTGATACTTACATTCTAGTACTTACATCTTTGTACCTTTGTATCTCTGTTGTGTAGAATAGTTGTAGCCTGAGTCCTCTTACTAAGCCTTTAAGTCCTCTCTACACTGTTACTGACAAGTACATATTCTTAAAGTAATCTACACTAGACACACAAAGTACTTGCTAAAATTAAAAGAAGTAACAAATATAATAGTAATCAAAACATTAATCCTTTCAAATAATACAAAATAACATTAATCATAACAAACAAAAATGAGTAATACACTCAAAATAAACAAAATAAATTTATATTTCATAACAAACACACACATATATTCAGCAAATAAAGCAAATATAATGATTAAAACAATATCAAACAGAATTTGATATAAAAACAAATGATAAACAAACAAATATTGTAATATACAATAAAAAATAAAACTGTAAAATACACTATTTCATCTATCTATGAAATAAAAACAACAAACACACATTATGATTGTACAAAGTAACATATTAATCAAATAACATTATACAACAATAATAAAAACATTATTACAACAATAAAACAATACAAACATACAAATAACACTATAGTTTGTAAAGTCTAAGAACACATTAAATAATAACAGACACAATACACACATATATTAATATTAAATATATTCATTGTAAAACAGTAAAACAATACAAATGTATTATATGTTTAAAACATATATAATGTGCCTAAACAGACTTACAAATGGTCAGATGATAAAATAAAACAAATTACAATGAATAAAACTTTGATCAACCTTAATATGAAGCAATCTGACATATCATAAATGATATTACAAATTACAAACAATACAATGCTTTAATATAAAGGTATAGAACAACTATTTAATACTTAAAAAGTATGAATACAAAATGAACACAAACAAAGATGATACATGATGAACAGAGGACATTATAACAACATTAACAGTACATTTTACTAGCATGATTCAACAGTTTTATTACAAAAGTAAAAGTGAAAACTACTAGTAACACAATTCAAATGTGCAAAAATACAAATTAACAACAAACAAATTAATAACACACATATTGTTATTAAATATAGTATTAACTATACAAACAAAACAATACAAACGAATTACAATTCTAATTACACTTTGAGTGTAAGAATACAAAACATACTACACATATAATAATACAAATACAAACAGAACAAATAACAGAACAAACACAGAACAACACAGTATGATAAAATAAACATACTATGTTATGAAACAAACAATATGACATGAAAAACAAACAAAACAAAATTATATTATATTATACTATATTATAGACAAGAAAAACTACTATTATACAAATGATAAAACATTATAGTGACAACTATAATACTACAAACAAACAAAACACTAAAGAGATCCTGTAGCTCTCTTAGTAATCAAAATTGAACTTACAATTGATTTATTAAATCAAACATAATAATAATACATTAGACAAATGTAACACTTACAGTGGACTTAATATACAAAGCTAACAAAACATTTATATTGTGAATGTAAATGATATTAGTAAAAACAACAGACAAACACATGTCAAACATTATATTAGCCTGATCAACTAGTATAAGTTTGAAGGGGAGTGTTAACATTTATTTTGGATAAATGTGTCATATGTCTCAAATCACACAATTGTCTTACAAATATACACTATTACTAAGACATGTCTTCTAAGACATCCAAGACATACATTCAAGACATTCAATAGTACATAGTATATAATACTCTAATCTATAGACAATGAAGCTCATCAAAGATGTAGGACAAACTTACACACAGTCAACTCATATTGACACTTATATACTATGAGTAGAGTCTACTGAACTCCTACTAGTGTGACTTACTCTTAGTATTATCCTGAGTAGTACACAAACCTACAGAAGAATATTTCCTATTGTTTAGGGATATTTGCAACCTTAACACACTAACAACTTGTAAGTGAAAGGAAATAGAGCCTTATAGCTTAAAACTATAAGCTGCTTATAATCTGTGTATAAATTGACTTTTGCATACTTATTTGTGGCTCTGTTTTCTTAGTCAATCCTTTTCTTTCTCTGAGTCACTTATCTCTTCAACTTGTACATATTTACAGTAGAGCTTCTAGTAAGGTCCAACATCTTCTTCAGACTTTCTTAAGTACTTCTTTGTCTCTTCAGTTTCACACTATTTGTAAATTGTATTGTAGAATCTACAGAGAAACCTTGCTTCATCTTCTCCTACCTCTTGTCTCTTTTCAAATAGAATTAGGCTACTTTGTATGAGACCTTGTTCAGGATCATTTTTCACTACTAGAATGTATTACAATTAGTAATATAAGACTCTTAGACATTTTAATTCTTTTACACCTACTGTGTATTCACTGTACACTACTATTTCTATTACATTAGGAAAAAGTCACATTTCTTGTAATTTCTTATAAACTTTGTAAAGTAACATATGTATTGTATATACATTATAAAGTAATTGTAAGGCTTGTAATTGAATTATAATGTTTAAATAAGACATATTAATGTATATAAAAACTATATAAGTACTAGGGATGAATAAAATCTATTACATGTATTATACTAACTTTGTATGACAATCTAAAGTGTTATACTTGTATTATATTTAAATTATAATCTTAAAGAAAGAGTTATATTTATAATATAATAATGTAATAATTACTATTGTTACCTTATAATTTATACAAAAGGTATATTAATGTATATTATACTTAGATTATTTATACAAGCAGTTTACAATTATTGTAAAAGGCATTTCATTTACTTGTAATAATTACATTAGTGTGTTTACAAAGCTATATACATGTTATATTACTTTTTACTATATTACAAAGTAGATTAGTAATTTTATTTTATACCTAAATACAATAATTAAAATGTTCTATCAGTTGATGACTCATATTATAGTTGCTTACATAATTAACTGCTAAAGATTGAGAGTATATAATGATGCATTTCTCTTCATTACTCTTTTACCTCCTACCTTTCCTACCCTTACTAGGAATTTTGACTTAGCTAACTTTGTTACTCTTGTATGAAATTTAATCCTACTCAAACATTTAACAACTATCTCTTACACTAAAATGTCTACCTCTATAATAAGCTGTAAGACTACTCTCTGTACTCTTAAAACTACTATGTCTCAGTGTTGTGAATGACAGAAATCTAGTCTCTTCTCTACTTTCTAACAAGCTACCTACACACTGTATTGTTGAAGGACTTAATACAAACTTGTTACATTTAAAAAACATGCTCTCTCTGTAGTTGAGCACATTGTTGTAAACCTAGACTCAGTTCCCTCAATAGAGGTAGAGCTTATGTCAGCAAGTAAAACACTGAACAGTCTTGTGATTAACTAGTGTGATAATAATGTTACACACTCAATAGTTGTGAACTATATTAACACAACTCTGTTACAAAGTGTTGAGCCTTACTTACAACAGGAGGGTCTAGAAGAAGTTGACTCTTTACATCCTGTTCTCTTTACACTCATCTGTGACTGGTGCAAAGCCAGTCCCTTTACTGACCCTGAGTTTACTAAACATACACTTTACTAGTACACTAAAAAATTCCCCTTTGAGTACTAGTATTATAACACAAGGTTTGCTACTCAGTACAAGACAGTCAAACACACTTTCAACAATCACATTTCTACCTACAAGACTATAGTAGAGTACATTCCTGCTCAGCCATCCAGCCCACTACTATAAACACAAGTTTACACCTACTATAGAGTATAGGTCTAACAAACAAATCTAGGCCTTGTAACCTACTATAAGGAATTCAAACACTAATTCTACCTCTTAAACTAAGTTAATAACCTCTTGTAGGATGACAGGTCCAAACTACACACATTTGTAACTAAACTGTATACTTGTATTTACACAAGGTGTACAAAATCCTACTCTACTACAGGTATGTGGCAAAAGTGTTCATCTTTCCTCAAAAGGTAAGGCCATTTGTAAGTGATTAGCATACCTTATGTAGAAATTAGAGGTAGATCAAAGCTTTGTAACACACAATCTGTATGTTGTAAAGCACAAAAAAAATAAAGAATTTTGCTCAATTTAAACAAAATGGCTTGTATTCAACTCAGCTCACCCAAAAAAAATCAACTCATTAGTGCTATATGTCTTGGAGCAAAAATCTGTCATACTGTTACAGTTCTGGAGATCCCCTGTACTACTGCTCAATCAATATGGAAGAAATAGAAGGAAACCAAGTCTACCTCTAACAAACCATGTTCTGGACGTCCAAAACTCCTTGATGGAATCATACACAAGCTTCTCATTCATTTGGCTACTACTCACAGGTTCATGCCTCTTAAAAACCTTGAAAACTACATAGGAATCAGTAGGGAAACAGTTAGGAGGGAGTTGGTAAAGGATGGTTATTACAGAAGACGAGTTAGGAGATGTTTGCAGAGAAATGCAATTCAGGAGGCAAGGAGACTTATTTGGGCAGGACACTATCATCACTGGAGGGTTCAGGAGTGGGTTAATGTGGTTTTTTCTGATGAATTCTACCTTTGTGTGGATAGAAACATTGGAAATGTTTGGGTGACCAGAAAACCACATAAAGTTTATGAAAGATCATGCATTCTTGAAAAGCCATACCAGAATCCAGTTAGGATAATGGTTTGGGGATGGATTGCTTATAACTTCAAAGGTCCTCTTGTTATTCTTGATTATCCTGGAGGGAGAGGAGGAGGAATGACTGTACAAAGGTACAAGGAGCAAGTTTTGCTACCTGTCCTTATTCCAATCTTCAATTGGCTTCGAATCGAACGTCCTGGCCTCTTATTCCAACAGGATAATGCTAGATGCTACACAGCCCGAGTTACAAAGCAATGCTTGCAGGAGAACAATATTCCTCAAATTGATCATCCACCCATTTCACCTAATGTCAATCCTATTGAACCAGTCTGGTTTGATTGGAAGAACATTTTTCGAGGTCAACAAAGGACACCAACATCTAAGGAGGAATTGAAGGAAATGGCTAGGGAAGCTTGGGATAATCTTACATTGGATCAAATTAATAAACAGATTGAATCCATGCCAAAGAGGGTTGATACAGTTGTTATTGCTTGTGGAGGAAACACTGGTTACTAAAGTCATTATTTTTCTTTTTTTTTCTTTCTAAACAAGCTATAGACAACTATAATTTTAATTAATGTATTCAAGTTTTAAGTATATACTTTACAAAAATTAATGTTTATGTTTTTTTGTGGGTATATTGTGTTCATGCAAGTCAGAGACACGAGACGAAGGTTTGACGTGTCTCTGACAGCTCAAATAGGTAACACAAATCGATTAATAATGTACCTACCTATTGAGGAAAGACAAACACTTTTGCCACACACCTGTATAAGGGCTCAGTTTACACATGTAACAAGAGACCATTTTGACAACTGTAAAATGCCTCAGATCTTTGTCCAGTTGGTCAATATGTGTGTCAACTGTAGTCACACATTCTCTTTTGTACAAGGGCTCAAGGCCTACTATAAATTTAGGATTAATAAAGGTAAGTACTGTAAGTACTAGAAGGAATGGCTAGTTCCCCTCTCTAGTTTTTTCCCTCTACAATAATTAATTTTTATTTATTTTTTTAATTTCCTCCTTTATACAAGTCAGTACAACATTCTGATCTACTCTTTCATTTTCTTCTAGGTAGTATAGTAACACAGGTCTTTCTTTACTTTTATACCTATTAGTAACCCTTTAGTAATCTACTGTAAGTAATACTAAGACTGATAGAACAAGGCTCTACTCTAGTAGAGCTATTTTGTTAGTCACAGTCAGAGTAGTGTTTTACATAGTTGATTTTACATTATGTACTTTCTCTCTTACTTTAAAAAATGGAAACCTTCTACCTCTCTTACTACTACTAGGAAACTTGACTTGTATTACTTGCTACACTAACACTCTACTTGTAAAGCTTGTTCAAGTTTTAATCCTGTCACAATGACTACCTTTATGTTGAAATGTAAGGCTACTCTACATACTCTTAAATCTGTTATGTCTCAATGTTGTGAATGGCAGAACTCTCAACTCTTATCTACTTTCTGTTGAGCTACTAACACACTGTGTTGTTGAAGGACACACAAACCTGCTACTTCCTTAAACTGTACTCCCTCTATGGTTGAGCAACTTGTTGTAAACCCAGACCCAGCTCCCTCTATAGAGGTTGAGCTAACATTAGTAAGTGAAACACTGAACAGTCATATGATTGACTAGCTTGTTACTCACAACAAGCTACTAATGGTTGTTGACCCTGTTGACACAACTCTACTACAAGGTATTGAGTCACACTCACAACACAATAGTCCAGAAGAAGTCAACTCTTCACATTATGCTCTTACTACATTCATATATAACTAGTGTAAAGCTGGTCCTTTTACTAACCCTCAATTCATTGACTATACACTTTACTAGTATCTAAAGAAATTCCTATACAGTTGCACATACTATAGTATGAGGTTCACCATTCAACACAACACAATACAACACACAAAAGACAACCACACAATCAACCATGAGACTGAAGCAGAGTACATTCCTACTCAACTATTCAGCCCAACACACACTACTCAGGCCTGCTCCTACTGTAGGATGTAGGTCCAGTAAACAAAACCTGCTCTCATAGAGTACTACAAGGTCTATGAGCACCTATTCTACCTACTCAACCAAGCCAACATCTTGTCATAGGACACTACTCTAAAACCCTACACTATGGCCTCAAAACCATATGTGTGTATTTATAAAAAATGCAAAAAGGCCTACTCTACACTTAAGGCCTGATTCACACACACAACAAGGGATCATTTTAGCAACTGTGAAATGCCCCAGATCTTTGTCCAGTTGGTCAACATGTGTGTCAACTGTGGCCACAAATTCACCCTTGCTAAAGGGCTCCAGGCCCACTACAAATCTACAATGGACAAGGGAGGCTGTCATAAGTACCAAAAGGATTGGCCAACACCCCTCTCTAGTTTCTTCCCTCCAAACACTTAAAAAAAAAAATTCTTTCTTCTTTTCTTTTTCTTTCCTCCTTTATACTAGTTGCAGCTACATTCTGATCTACCCTTTCACTTTCTTCAGGTAGTGTGGCAACACAGGTCTTCTTTCACTTTCATACCTGTTAGTAACCTCCTAGTAATTTGCCAGGGTGATACTCAGCAAACAGAACAGGGCTCTGCTCCAGTAGGGCTATCTTGTCAGCCACAGTTGGGTTGCGTTTTATGTAGTTGATTTTGCGTCATGTATTTCTTTTCTTAAATGGCAACCTCCTACCTTCACCATCTCCCCAACCCTCTGCCCCCAACGCTATGTCGTTGCTTCTGTTCTCTGAGTCTCTAGTCAAGTCCTCCACTCGCAAGTGTCCTACCAGCAGGCACTCTGCCTGCAACAACATAGGCAATAAACATCACTGCACTTGTCTCTCCAATCTGCCGCTGCGATGCCCGCGCTGGGCCTCAGATCCCGCAATGATGCCACCAAGCTGACTACACCGTCCTTCAACGTAAAGCGTAAGCAGCCAGTCCACACCATAATAGCCTGCACAATAGTTGCTCATCCCTCTCCTCCCAACTTGTTTGTCTCCCTTCCATCCCTCCCGCTCCTTGCTCCGCGTCTTGTGTTGCCCCTCCTTCGTTGTCTTCCTTTTTTTACACTCGCCTTCCTTTTTGCATTCGCATTCGCGCATCCACATTGTTGACCAATGCTGAACGACTTCTTCAATAATTCCACGCATTCGCGTACTTCTCCCCGCTCCGCAGCGCAAGCAACACTCAACGAGCATACGCTCGCGACAACGTCCCTGTACGACTACTCCTATCGTGCCACCCTCTCTCGCACCCGGTACGTGCTTTTCCCCCCACCCATTCAATGTTTGACATCACTTTCGATAAGCCACACCGCGTGCATTTGCATTCCTCTGTGCCGGGCATGGAACCGCATTAAACGGAAGCATTGAGCCACCACTCACACCGTCCGCGCCGAGTCTGTCCGCGACTTCTACGTTGCCTCTCTCTTCATGTCAGGACGTCCCAGAGATACACCCTTGCAATCTATGACTCAACACACTGCACCTTCCATTGCTTACTGCAGCAAGAGCATACAGCACACACACAGATACAGATTCGCCTGTAGCTCAAATTAGCTCGCTCGACGCTCTGGATCTCAACTCAGTGCACTACCTGCCCTTCCTGCACGTTGTCATGGTGTGTCCCTCTCCTCACTTCAATTACCTGCACTTGCTAACAACTCTGTCCCTTAGGTGAAGACTGGTCTGATAAATATTCAAAGTATGATTCTCCACGACTGCACTCTCCTTTCCTTCTTTCTCTCTTTTTTCTTTCTCGTCTGCATGCTCGTTTCGCAAATACAATATGATTAAAATGCAATGTAGTCGAATAGAATAAATGCAAGTGTATTAAGATGTTAATACTTAATTATAAGAGGAAAAAAAGAGAAATAAATGAACACCTGGATTGTAAAATATTATAACAATTTTGAAGTCTTGTAAAGGTCTTATAAAGTATAATAATGTCTAACAATATACATACTACTTTTAAAGCTTTACATTAGATTGTATACATTATAAACTATATTACTCTTGTTAAAATACAAAGTTCTTTTAATATCTTTTCATTTTAGAAGGTTGGATATAAGTTCATTTACATATTATCAACACTTATAAACCTTATTCATATTGACAATATGTACATACCTTTTTGTGCCTTATATAGCTTTTTATAATTTTCTCATTTTAAGAGGTTGGATATAAGGTTTTATATATTTTTTAGAAATTTTATATAATTTATATGTTTATAAGCTAATATAAGCCTTAAGACTTTTTCCTAATGTATCATCTCCATCTGTCTCCTTATCTATATAACAATTATGTCTTGAAGCCTCTATTTTATGAAGACAATTGCTAAGGACAGAAATGTAAGGAACCTGCTATAAATTTGCTCTAAATAGTACTTCAGATTATGCTAGAGTCTAAAATGTAATGTCATCTAAAGTCCCTCAGAGACATATTTGGATCTGCCCTGACTTATGATAACTGTAATGCTTTGGGTATGCTTGTGGTAGTTATAGATGCAAGGCAAAATACCTAGTATTTCTATTATTCAATCTATTGTGAAGGTGGCTTTGTACTAAGGATTCTGAGACAAACCTTACTACTGATGTAGTGTCATGTGGATAGCAAACAATGGTACAATGTAATACAATAGCTTTAAACAGTAACACCAACTTAAAATAGTACCTTTGGCATAATAGAATGCAAGCCAAAACTTACTTTCATATGTCAAGTTTGTAGTAATTTATAGTACTTTGTATTAATCTGGATTGAATTACTCTTTGAATAACATGACATGCAAACATAGATGAATCTCTATAATTGCTTCTAGTTTCTTCAGCTTACCCTGTCATATATTAATATAAGTCTCTTAAATATTGACCCAAAAAAGCTAGTACTAATCTGTTACAGTCTATGAATAAAGCATTCTGCTACATAGTTAGCCTTTCCTGTTAGAATTGAACAAACTGGACATTAACTACAATTTACTCTAGAACATGATGTTGTTTCAGGAACAGGTGTACCATAGGTAAGAGTCAGTTGTAGTACTTTTAAGTCTTGATTTTAAAGCTAACTAACACTTATTGAATTACTAGGTAGATATAAAGTTTAATACAATAGTGAACTATCTTTTCTTACAAGACTATAGTGACCAGATTTGTTGCCAAATTGTAAGCTAGAAATACAAATCAACTAGTAGTGTTAAATAGTGTACATGTCTTAAATAGGATGGCTGTTCCTTCTTTAACAACTCCTCCTTTTGATGTTGCCTACAGTCTGGACTAATACAACTGCCTCCTCCTAATCTCTTGTATTTAAGAACCTGTGGAATCAGGTGGCAAAACAGTCAGAAAGATTTGACAATGTTAGAGTATGATCAGGATGACCTTTAGAGTACAAAGCCAACACAGTATAAAGATATTGAATTGCCTTATCTAGGTTGTCTGACTTTCTGTACTAGTTAAAATTAAGTAATAAGTAGTATTATAAGTTGTTTAGTGTAGTAGAGCAGTCAGGGTGGCCC